AGTTAATTCATTAGTATCTTTTGGCACAGTGTCCTCGTCAGAATGAATCAAAACAGGCTCGGTAGACGAAGTTTGAGCAGGGGTATCCTCAATTTCATCACTATTAATGACTCGTCTCCTAACTCTTGGCCTGGCAATTAAAGAGGTATCTTCCTCTTCCTCATTCTCAGAACTTTCTCCTATAGCTTTCCTTTTGGGAAGCGAAGCTCGAGCCTTGTTCAAATCAAGTGCAGCATTAGCAGACATGCGAATGGCCATAGCTACTTCAGCTGCCATTCCTCTAACACCAAATCCTGATCAAAAGAAGGATACATAATCAACGTTGAGAAAAAGGTGCTTGGCATGTAAAAAAAAACATGTAAAAAGGGACATACCATGTGTTTTCACCTTCCAGCCATGTAAAGAAGAAATCGATTTCCAAGTTCTTTGATCCTTAGGAGCAATCTTCAAAATTGAATCTACCCAACCACGGAAGCCAGGAATAAGTTCCACATCTCCCATGGTTGCTACAAAAAACCAAAAAGAGACGAAGTGAGAAAAAGAATCAGAATTCTCAAAAATAGGTGCGGTAAATAAAAGGAAATTTACGTGCAAAATTCCACTTCTCAGGGAAGGGAATATTTGTTTCACCAAGCAAGTCCACCGTACGTACAGCAACGTAACGGGTGTACCATCCACGATCCCTGTCATCTTCAGGGTTTACCAAAACCTTTTTGCTTCTTGCAGTTAAGGTAAAAACCCCATGGCGCATTAAATTGGGATGGTATAAATGAATAAGGTGAGAAAGGGTGAAGTCGACATTGGCTTTGGCAGATAAGTATCTCAGACAAGCCACTGCTCTCCACACTAGGGGACCGACTTGGGCCAAACAGATTTTAAAGAAACGGCAAAAGTTAATAATGACTGGGTCAACCGGAGGATTAAAACCCAAAGTAAATGGGTAAGTATAAACGAAAGAATAACCATTTCTAAAGGAAGAAATTCTTTGATTTGGGGAAGGAATTGACATTCGTAGACTATTGCTCCAGTTACAATCCCTTCTGATGGTAGGGATTGTAAGCTCGGTTACTAATGAAGGATAAGTATCAGCTTTTTCTAAATTTGCAATTTGCCTTTGAAGAGACGTTCTATCACTCCCAAAAGACAAATCACTGGGAACAATTTCATCGACTAAAGGTTCTTGAGAAGAATCAAGGATTTCTTTACCTTTAGAAGAAGGGGTCTTCGGAATAGAACTCCCGATACTAGGAGAAGAAGAAGCAGGACCAGATAAACCATCACGAGCGGACCCTAGGCCCAAGCTCCGAAGCCTACCTCCTCTGCCTCTCCTATGTCTTGTAGGGGCATTGGGGAAGTGATCAAGAATTGGAACTTTTCTAGGGTTAGGGTTTGGAGATGACATTGTTGAAGAAGGATGTACTAAAAGGGAGAGAAAATACAAGTAAGTAAGAAATTGCTTGTTGAAGATCTATGAAGAAGAAGGTAAACGAAAGAGGGTTAAAAATGCTTATAATGACAACCGTCAAACTTAGAAGTGCAATGAAGGAAAGCTTATAATAAAGGCAACTATCATTTCGTGAATAGTGTAAATGAAGAAGTCTCAAAAAAGGGGGTAGAATTGCAGAATCAATCATAAGGTGACACGTATGTAAAACATTAAATGGAAGGGACAATTGAAGCGTCAGTATTTGTCATAATATTAATTACGGCAAAATTCCCTTTTTATGAAAATCCACTTCCCAATTATTTACTTGATAAATAAATGGAAAGTGGGGGGACTATCTGTATTGGAAAAAATTGAATTTACATTGTAGGTGACGTGGCATGACACGTGGACTGGTCAAACGGTCAAAACATAGTACATAGCCAAGAGGCACGGGCAACAACAGATAAGGGAAAAAGAACGCAACATAGGTGCGGACCGTTACTAAAATAGGTACGAGTCTCGTACCTATCCAAGACCAAAGATCGGAAGAAGTTGAAGATATGAATCTGATGACGTAAAAGAGTCTAAATACAACATTGAATACCAAATACGTTAGAATATTTGATTTAAAAAGAAATGATTGTGTAACGTTTCTTTTAATGTCATTTATTGCTCATAATTGCATCATTAAGACAAAGACATTACATCTTCTCCTAGAATTAGCTATAAAAGGAGAAGAACTCATCATCTCTAAGGACACGAAATACTATTGAGATCTTACTGAAATACAAAACTATTTACTGCTTTACCATCATTCTCAAAATTATTTTATTTTCGTCTCCTGATTATCAGTAACCCGAATTTCTTTTTAGTTTTGACCAAAGACTCAGATTTTTGGTTAAACAGCGCCCAGCCAAAGCCTAACTTGCCTAACTTCAGAGATCAAGTCTAAAGTTTGAATGTAGTTTTCTGTCTGAATTTAGGGATTTTTACATAAATTGTTTTTCAACCAACAACCAACAGAATAGAAGTTCCGTTCTTGCAAAACTACTGTTTGGTTATAAAACAGTTTTTGGCAAAAAATTGGCATCACTTTTTTGGCTGAAACTCTTCTTCAAATTTTGAAGCAAACGTCACCTAAATAGTTCTAATTTAAGAAAAGTATCATTTTTTTGGATGGACTAAAAAGAAATAAGTGCTAATCAAAATTGGGACTGAAAGAGTAGTATGTATGATGGGAAACGAGGAACTGGATATTTGTGTCAATGGGGCTAAGCTTGAAGTGTAATATGGTCGTTTTGGTATTCATGTTCATTTACGGGAACGAGAAGCAATGAACATGGGAAATTTATATCCAGGTCTAGAACATTTGCAATCTCATGCAGTTCGCCACACTGTCTCCCAAGTTCACCGAGTTCAGGTTACATATTCCTGTTTTTTCACTAAGCTATTGTTTCATAATGGTTATTCCTTTAGACTCGCACTAGTATTTCCATATAATACCAGCAAGCCTGATAAGTTTGATTTAAATACTTTATCTAAAGTAACTGTTAAGATTTAATCCCTAGTATATTTGCATGAAACTCAGTTTTGCCGGTGATTTGATATAGGCCCTTGTAGTAAGATTACTATTGTTTCTGACGTTTTAATTCGATGATGACGAAGGAAACAGAGTGAGTTGAACAACATAATAACTTGGCAAATATGGAAATGGTGGAATTGTCTTTAACAAGCATCAACTCGCTCCTGAATCTTTTTTCGCCTTCCTTTATCATATTCTTTTGTTGTTCGCTGTTGCGCATATGCTAGTTTTTATAATCTTAGTAGTGGTGCAACTTCAACCCAAAATTGGTTGACTCGCCCAACTCTCATAGTAAAACTGTAGTTAGATGGGTTAACATCAACCCATTGAGAATGCATACTGTTTCTGAATATTTTTATGTATATCATTTCAAAATCCAGTTTAATTGCATGCCGCTGGCTTCATATAACTTATGTGGATATGTTTTTTTTTTTGAAAAAAATGCCTCTTTGTCAGATTAAGGATTTACTACCTCCTATTCACTAATCGATCTCCTAACTTCTCTTTGGTACTTGCAGCCATTTCAAGGCCAGCCAACATCAAGCACAGCGGTAACTGTACCACACCCACCTGCAATTCGTCCTAGGGTTCGGGCACGAAGAGGACAGGCCACGGATCCACATAGTATTGCTGAGCGGGTAATATGATCGGTATAAGTAGATAAGTTTGTTAGGACAACTGTAAATTCTGTTGTAAAATGCAAGGGCTGTGGAAAAGGCTCTAGAAACAAGTGCCTGAGTAATGTATTGTCTCTTTTACAGTTAAGAAGAGAAAGGATATCAGAAAGAATAAAGGCTTTGCAGGAACTTGTCCCCAGCTGCAATAAGGTGTGTTCTATTTTCTTGTTGCCACAAATTCTTTTGATGAGGATTCATTTTTTTGTTGCGACAAATAACAATTCAGGCACATTAGTCTTAAAGTTGCATGCTCAAAATAATGGGAATATTAACTTTATTCTGACCCATCACTTCATGATGATGTTAAAATGCCAATGCTTCAAATTGAAAATAAAAAGTAGTAATCTTCTGTATGCTAACTTTCTGTTGCAGTTGAGTGTTGCCTAATGGATTCTAGTTACTATTTATTAGAAATAGTTGTGATTTTCAAACTAGTAGTTACGAAACCTCATTGAAATTGGTATTTTTAGGAATGCCTCTGTAATTGATGCAACTCAAAACATGTCGCAGCTTGCGGTATTGATGTATTTCTTTCTGTCTTGCCAGACCGACAGGGCTGCGATGCTTGATGATATATATGTGAAGTTCCTAAGGCTTCAAGTTAAGGTAATAAGACGGTCAACTAGTTTTTTTTTCCCTTTCCTGTGTGATTCCGCTCTGGTTTTGGATCATGGGAACGGGTCTAATGGCATGGAAACACAATAAGCCACTAGTCCCACCCGACAAATAAATAAAACAAAATACAGTAAAAAAATAGTACTGTTTTAGTTTAAGAGTATTATTAGCTGATTGTAAATAACTGATAAGTTTGAAGGGGTGAAAAACATTTTTAAGTGCTAAAACTAATTTTTTAAATAAGCATTTACGTGTTTGGATAGACGTGCTGAAATTGATAATAAACAGTTGATGTGTTTGGTAGAAAAGTGCTGATAAGCTATTTTTTTTGTTAAAATGACCAAATTAGCTGTTAAGAATTAATCACTAGTATATTTGCATGGAACTCAGTTTTGCCGGTGATTTGATATCGGCCCTTGTAGTAAGATTGCTATTGTCTCTGGAGTCTTAATGTGATGATGACGAAGGAAGCAGAGTGAACACAATCACTTTTTCTTGCTTCTTACTTACTGAACATCATTGAAAATACCTTTATACAGTCTCTGATAGCTCAACTGTAAGATTGTTTCATTTGCTCCAAGACTTATTTATTTCGTCAATATCTATGGGGGACAGTGGTGAAAGTCGATCCAACCAGCATGTCTGGGAAAAGTGGTCCAATGTCGAAACAGAAGAAGAGGTAGCAAAGTTGATGGAGGAAGATGTTGGAGCAGCCATGCAATACCTTCAATCCAAATCACTCTGCATCATGCCCATTTCACTTGCCATACTTATCTATCCTACTCAGCAAACGGATAACCAATCAGTGGTCAAGCCGGAATCATCAGCCCTACCATAGACTCCAAACTTATTGCACGTGCCATCGCGAACTCCTTATGGCTTTGCGGCCAACCCTCCTTTATATCTGTACCTATAATCTCTTGTATTACACTCTAAAATCCATGGCAAATAAAATCAAAGTCAGATGCCACAATTTTTGCTTTTACCTCAACCATTGGCCCCTTTATCAACTTTCTGGAGTTTTGTCAACCAAGGCATGATGCCATACCTTGAACAAAGGCAGCACTTAAGAAAGCATTCAGTCCATTTGTAACATTTTAGGGCGAATGTAGTTTGACTCGACACGGAATTTAAGAAGAAAAAAAAGACTTTTGAAATTTGTGGTTTTAAAAACTTAAGGGGTAAAAGCTTTGTGGGGGCATGACATTTGCACGATAATAAAAGTTTCTCATTAAGGGTAAAATGAAGAGTTTAAAATTGAATTATTTTTACAAATTTAGAAATATGTCATTTATTTTGGACCAGACTAAGTGGCGATAGTTTGTTCACCGTAAAGTCCTTTTACAGAGTATGTTGGTGAGAGATGAGACCACTTTTCCATACTCCTCGATCTGGATTCCTAAGGCACCCATGAAGGTGTGGTTTTTTTACATGGCTAGCGGCGAGGGGAGTGATTTTGACTGCTGAAAATTTGCGAAAGAGAGGAATTACACTTGTTAGTTGGTGCTACATGTGTAAAAACTCAGGGGAAGAAGTTGATCATCTTTTGTTGCATTGCCCTGTGTCCTCGGCTTTGTGGAGGGCAATCCTGAATCTTTTTGGTGTTCAATGGGTGATGCCAAGCACTGTAAAGGAGATGTTATATAGCTGGGCAGGTTTTCGTAGAAGAAGAAAGCAAAATGCGTGGAAGTTCACCCCGTTAGCTTTCATGTGGATAGTTTGGGGGGAGAGAAATATGAGAGCTTTTGATGGGATTGAGTCTCCTTTTTTCTGATAAGGTAAAAGTAAAGGTAGAGGATCTGGTATGAATCGGGAGGATTGAACCCGGCGAAACATTTCATAGCATCAATTGATTCTCCTTTTTCACATCTTAAGAATAATATTTTATCTTTGATCGCTTTTTGGTGCACTCATATAGTCCCTTCTTGTATAGAAGATTGTGCATCTTTTGTATACTTCCTGCTAGGGGTGTACATGGGCCGAGTTGGTTCGGTTTTTATCAAAACCAAACCAACTATCTCGGTTTGGATTGGTTCGGTTTTGTCGAATTTTTCGAGTTTTTCGTATTTTTTGTTACTTAAATATTATTTCAATCTTACTTTGTTAAATTTTTGATAAGTAAATATATGTTTAGTAAAAATATAAAAAATTGACAAAAATTATCTATTAAAATATTTTATGAGAGAATTTTCTTAGTAACATATATTAGTTATCTTTTTTAGTCGTCTGATAATATGTTTCATTAATGTACTNCTATTATTTAAGGTTAATAAATATGGAGCACTTCATATACTATTAAATATTATATCCCGCAAGAAAATTGCAAATATTTCTAGACATTTTTTAAAGAAAACTCTATATAAAATCTTAAAAGTATATATTTATATGTCAGTTTGGTTCAGATTTTTTTACTCAATACCAAACCAAATCAGACCAAACCTAATCGGGTTTTTAGTCGGTTTGGTGCGGTTTTCCGGTTCGGTTTGTACACCCCTATTTCCTGTTCCTGTATACAAAAGTTTTCTCTTTTTTGATTAATACAATTTACCTTATCAAAAAAAATGGACCAGACTAAAAAGGAAAGTACCTCATCTAATTTGAATCGGATGAAGTACGATCTATGCCTCTGCTATGCTTTTTGTCTCGGGTGCATTCGAATAGCACATGGAGGTTTGAGTAAAATGATGGAACTCAATTGTGTAATTTGGAAAACAAAACAATTGCAGAAATATGATACTTTTTGGGTAGTTTTTAACATTTGACCCCGCTTGCCCTGTAGGTAGAATAACGTTCAAAATCACACTTTTGGCCTAATTAAATGTCAAATGTGTCAAGTCAAATAACATAGGAATCAAACCTGGAAACAAGACTCATGAATCAAATCAAGTATTGTCCCTTCTCAACATAACTAACAGCGAAATAGTAAAAAAAAGGCAGCTGAGCGCACAAAGCATCCTGCATTCATGCAGAGTCAGGGGAAGGGTCGCACCCTAATAAGTATGATATAGACAGCCTACCCTAATGCAAGTATTAATGGATGCTTCCATGACTCGAACATATGACCTATAGGTCATACAGAACCATACAAAATGCTTCCATATTTGCTCTGAATACTCGGTTGAAGGTGCATCTGCATTGTTATATATCATCATATGTCGATAGATTCGACAAACAACAAAGCAATCATGTTTTTAACTTTGGATTTGGGATTTGTGTAACCATCATCATCTTTGAAAAATGTATCAACCAATCTTGTATAATTTAAAGTTCGTTCGAGGACAAACATTGGTACTGCAGTAGAGCGCGCAGGAGTTCCTTATTTATGTCTTTCCACGCATTTGTGATCTTTTTCCACATCTCAACATATGCTTCTTGCTTTGAAGTTCCATATTCTTTCATGTAGTACTCAACAAATGAAGCAACATGTCCTCTTTGTTGTTCAACCTACAACATAATATATTTCAATATCTTCATTAATATTATACAATATTTTACCATTTTAATCAGTCGTTTCTAAAGTTCCATAAATCACTTTATGTAAATGTGCTCATTGAAGTTGTAATTTATCAAGCATGTCTATTTATTATATCATGCAAAAGTGCCACCTAGACTCGAAATCAGATTGAGAAATGTTTTTTTGAGTCGAGGGTCTATCGGGAACAACCTTTCTACCTCCACAAGATAGGGTAAGATCTTCATACACATCTCTCTGCCCAGACCCGTACTATAGGAATACACTGGATATGTTGTTTCTGTTATTGTAGTTGTTTTTGTATTGTATTTAGGGACAAAATTTGCGAATTAGGATGACTAATTGTTATATAAAATGGAAATTATATTGTTATACTTAATTCATGATCAACAATATCATCCATTAATCTGCGGATTGTTGATGAAGCTCGAAGAATCAAAGGTTCATTTGCCAACCATTCAAAAGTCTCTTTTGTTATAATTTCCTCCATAACAACCAAAGAAATTGTTCCATACATCATACCGGTACAACTTACAACTCCATTTTTCATATACTCCTCACATTTTGGAATGTAGTTAGCATTCAACCATTCAACTTCCTTAAAATAGGCTGCCACCAACTTTTTCATCTAAAAAAGTAACAGAAAAAGTACTAATAGTTCAAAATTGTGATTCTTCCCTACAACTTGGTTTACTTAATTAACTTATTAAGTAGTAATTAATGTAACTTAATCAAGGATTACCTCTTTTTTTTTTTGCATAGTAGATGCGATCTGCTTTACCTTCTTTGGCCATTACTTCTTCCATTTCATTGAAAACGTCGAGAAGGCCTTGATAAATAGGTCTCAAATATGCCGGTAATGAATCCATGGCACCTACATCCCATCTGCAAAGTCTAAGTTGTCATAATATATTTCTCTATAACAACACTTCAAATAGCATCTTAAAAAATTATCAGAACAAATGACGTTGTTATAGAAAGATTACCTTTGGATCGCATCCGTGAAAAGCATAAGCTCATCAAAAGTTGCAAAAGCATCATAAGTGTCATCAATGATGGAGTTCATTTTGACTACTTGTGTTATCATTCTTCTTGAACGACTATATTGAGGTTCAAAATATATTCCCACCATCCAAAAGTAAGCTTCTACCAATCTGCCCTTTGCATATGGAAATTTGTTTGCAAAATCCAAATCTTTCCACCAGCTATAGATAACACAACAACATTAACATACTTAAACTTTAGGTGTTATTAATTAGCGCGAGTTACCATCAAACATCTCTATAATAGTCTCAATTGTTTCGAAATTTTTTGGTAACATAAAAGATTAGTTCTAAAGAAAACATGACCGTTATGGTGAACCGTTGTTATAAAGGATGGATTTTATAGAGAGATCTGACTGTACCATAACTATGAAGATGATAAGAATAGTAGATGTACCTTGTTAGCTCGTTAAGCTCTTTTAGATGAAGCTTTTGTAACATGTTAAAGTCCAACTTTGCAAATTTCAAAAGCAAATCATTATGTGTTCCAATGTTTTCATATATGTATATGTATTTCCTTGATCCCACCCTCGGTATAGTTTTGCGAATAGGTTGGTTTAAGGCTTCAGTAACTTGTACCTTAAGCGAGTTGCTCAAATTTGGGATCATGGACTCGAGATGAGTGGTGGTAAAGATAAGAGCTTCTCTAGAATTTCCTCGTCGTGCACTCTCATATGTGTTGCTTCATACAAACTTAGTAATCCTTGAATATCATTAATATGATTTTCCTTGAATTTTCCGTCATGGTTAGTGAATTGCTTGAACACATCTGGTTGAACACCATGTTTATAGTTTGAAAGAACTGAATTTCATCAGCATCAAGAAACTAAACCCTAAGTTATTACAACAACAACAACAAAAAAAAAAATTCAATGAAATCCTACAAGTGGGTCTGCGGAGTATAGTGTATGTAGACATGTGATTTTTGACCCTCCCCAAGATTTTTCATTTTTTAGCGCGTAAATATTTAATTTAGGCATAATATAGATATTTCAAGTAATTTTGGCTCTTTTACTTTATTTTATTACAAGAAACAAAAATCAAAAAATAGGTTCATTAATGTTTTGTAGTCATTTTTTATCTAAAAAGAAAATCTAAAAACAATATATGCAAAAATAGTATCGTATTTTTATTTTAATATGATATTTGAAAATATCAAAAATATATTTGTTTTGATGGTTAGTTTTATTTTAATAATTATTTGAATAGTAGGAATAATTAATAAATGTGCTCGAATTTTTAATCTTGTTCGCAGCGAAAAAATAGAACTTGGGCTCGAGCAACCCATTTTTAGGCATAATTTTGGACCTAGCCCACAATTGC